CCCGTTCTATCCCATTCCCCCTCGCTCCCCGCTCCCACCTCCCCGCACCCCCTCGCACCTTTCGCACCACACCCGCACCCGCACCCGCACCCACACCCACACCCACACCCACACACGTACGCGCCGCCGTGCACAGACGTGCGCCTTTCCCCCATCCCCCCGTTCCTGCCCTTCCCTGGGAAATCGGTTTGCAGCGGGCGCCCAGCCATCCTTCCCCCTCCCTCCCCGGAAGCACGGCGTCCCGTGTTCGTCCTCTCCGTTCGCACTCGCACCGGGGTCTCTCCTCCCTGCCTGTCTCTGCCTCCTCTCTCTCTCTCTCCCCCCCCCCCCCCCCCCCCCCCGCCCCTACCCCCACCGCACGCGGTGTCTCCCCTCCATCTGTCTGACCTCCTTGCCATGTCCGCGGCTGCTGTCCGAAGGCCTGGCAGCAGACCCGTTGGAAGGATGTGCGTGTGGGACACGCCCTTCGAGTCACCCGTGGCCAGCCGCTGCCGGCGGACTGCATTCTATTGGCCTCTTCGGCCCCGGATGGCAAGGCCTATGTCGAGACAAGTAACCTCGATGGCGAGGTGCGTCTTTTGCCGATGGCCGGGCCTTGCAGTTGGCTTCTCCCTGGGTGCTTTGCCCTTTTTCGGCCGTCCCGGCCCCAGTCCCCCTGGGCGACACGGCCATGGCTCGTCTGTGCGGATGCGCCTCTAACATGCTGGCTCTTGGATTGACGGTCCCCATGACACCGCAGACCAACCTCAAGGAGCGCCGCGCCCTGGAGATCACGCAGGCCGCCCTGATTCCCAGCCCCGACGGGGGCGGATACGGCTCGTTGGAGACCGGCCTGCAAAGGCTGTCCGGCCATGTGCGCTGCCCGGCGCCCACTCGGCAGCTGGATGTCTTTGAGGCGACCATCTCCCTGTCGCCTGTGGCCGGGGGCGGGCTCGATGCCGGGCTCCCGGGGCAGGAGCTGTCGACCGCCGAGACGGCCATGCTACCGGCCTTCGAGTCCTTCGGCCTGAACCCGGAGCAGCTTCTCCTGCGCGGGACCGTTGTCCAGGGTGTCGACTGGCTGGTGTGCCTGGTGGTGTATACCGGCGAGCAGACGCGTGTCCGGCTGAATGCCACCCAGGCCCCGACAAAGGCGGCCTCCTTCGATCGGGCTGGCAGTCGATTGGTCATCCTGACCTTCGTCTTTCTCTGTCTCATGGTGGTCCTTTTCGCCGTCAGCGGGTTCACCTGGCAGCAGCGCTTCCAGGTGGGGAGCTGGTTCCTCCCCGGGGCCGGGGTCACTGTCTTGGAGTTCTTGACCATCTACCTGATCCTCTTCAATGGCATCATCCCCATCAGTCTCTATGTGACCCTGGAGTTTGTGCGCTTCATGCAATCCAGCTTCATCGGTGCGTGTCCCGGGCATCTGGCCATCCCCCGGGCATCGGCGCATGTGCCGCCTCGCAGAGGAAGCTCACCTCCCCCTCGTTTCCTCCCTGGCAAGATGTCGATCTACAAATGGCCATCCCCCTGGAGGAGGACCCGTCTCATGGCGCTGGGCAGGTGACGGCCCGGACAGACTCGACCATCGGGGCACCACTCAAGTTTGCCCGCGCCAACACCAGTACCCTCACTGATGAGCTGGGCCTGGTCCGGCACATCTTCGTCGATAAGACTGGCACCCTCACCGAGAATGACATGCTCTTTAAGAAGTGCGCCACTCTCGGGGCGCGCCCGCGGATTTTCGCCGTGCCCGATTCCACCGGTCCTGCCGGGGATGTGGACCAGCCGGCCGATGAAGGCACCATGGCCGACCTGCTGGAACAGGTGCGCCTGCACGGCCGTCTCTCGGTCTTTCTCCCACGGTGCAATGCACTTGCTGACACCCATGCGCCCACACACACACACACACACACACACACACACACACACACACACACACACACACACACGCCAAAGGCCCTTTACAATCCCCAAACCCTGGACTTCATCCTGGCCATGGTCCTGTGCCACTCTGTCCTGCCGATCACCGAAGACCAAGAGGCAGGCCCTGCCTCCACCTCTGGCAGGGCCCCGGCTATTCCCCAATTTGAGGGCACCTCGCCCGATGAGATTGCCATTGTCCGGGCCCTCTTCCAGGCCGGTGTGCGAGTTGTAAATGTCACTGCCACGCACATTGGTCTGGAGCTGCCACGCGCATTGGCCGCAGCCGCAGGCTTCCCCCTGGACAAGAGTGGGTCCGGCTCGGTGGCCACCGTGCGCATGGGTGTGGACCTCCTCCATGTGTTGCCTTTCTCGTCGGACCGCCGGCGGATGTCGGTGCTGGTTCGTCTGCCGGGCGTTGGGGGTGATCTTGCCGGTCGCGTGCGCCTGATCGTCAAAGGGGCCGATACGGTGCTGACCGAGCGGGCTAGAATGGCTCCCGGTCCGGATTCTCCGATCGAGGCGCTGCTGGCTCGCCTGGCCGGTGACGGCCTTCGGACGTTGGTCTATGGCGCGCGCGATCTCGATGCGGACTTCTATCGCGATTGGTGCCTCGTGCGTAAGCCTGAGGGTTTCTTCTTGACCGTGCTTCAGCTGCACTTCCTGTCTCTCCTGTTGTATTTCTCCCGGCCTCGCGCTTGCTGCCAATGGCAGCCTCTCGCTTTCTCTCTCCCTCCCTCCCTCTCTCTCTCTCCCCATCCTTTCGACATGCTCTGACGTATACGTTCGCCCCCTGCTGGACTGGGTGGTTGGCTGAGGCAGGCCCTTCGTGATGCGTCTCTGACGGTCGGCGACCGAACTCGCGCCGTGCGCGCGGTCTTCGACCGCCTCGAGTGGGACCTACACCAGGTCCCGCAAGCTGGCGTTCCCATGCAGGGGGGCCTGGAGTTGATTGGTGTGACGGCCATCGCCGACCGCCTGCAGAAGGACGTCCCTGAGACGGTGACCGCCTTGCAGCGCGCCGGCATGTCCCTCTGGATGCTGACCGGTGACCGGCGCGAGACGGCCCTGCATGTGGGCCGCGCTGCGCGACTAATTGCCCCGAGCACCGGGCGCCCCGCGGCCTCCACCTCGACCGCCGTGCGCACCACCATGTTCGACACCCTCTTCCTTTCCGGCACCAGTCTTCCGGCCATGGCGGAGTCAATTGTCGGGTACGTTCTCTCTCTCTCTCTCTCTCTCTCTCTCTCTCCCCCTCTCTTTCTTTCTCCTCCCCTTTCGGACCGTGGTTTTTTTTTTCCTCAGTGCCGCATGCAAATGCGCTTCCGTGAGGATGTACGCGTGCATGTGTGCATACACATGCACACATGTGCACGCACGTGCAGGCATACGTGCACATGCGCATCTCCACCACTCCGATTTGGCAAGACTCACATGTCCCCTTTTGCCGGTGCGATTGGAACAGCTCCTTTGCCATGATTCGCGACATCCAGGACATGGGTCAAGCAGCGCCGGCCCTGGTGGTTGATGGCACGGCACTCCAGCTCCTGATGGACTTCCCCTCGTGCACCGTCCCGCAGGCAGCGCAGCTGGCATACGGGCGCCTGCCCACCGGCGCGGCCCTCGGTCTGGGGGGCGATCGGCCGGTTCGCATCGAGGATCTGGGCCTGCCATCCGGCCAGGACCCGGTGGCTGCATTGGCCGAGGCCCTCGACCGCCAGCAGGACACCCTGTTGACGGAATTCCTGCGGCTGTGCTTCAGCGCATCGACCGTGGTCTGCTGTCGGGTGGCCCCGCTGCAGAAGGCGGCGGTGGTGCGCCTGGTCCGAACATATACGGCGGCCCGGCCTGCCGAGACGGACCCCATCCGGCACCGGTCTCCCCCGGGCGGGGTGTCTGGCTCGTCGACCGGGGCCACGGCCGGCCAGCGGCCGGCGGCCATGCTGAAGCAGATCGGCCAGCGCCTGGCTGCCGGGGTCCTTCCCCCTTCCCCGGCGCCGGTGACCCTGGCCGTGGGCGACGGGGCCAATGATGTGGCCATGCTGCAGGCGGCCCATGTGGGCATTGGTCTGTCGGCCGGCCGCGAGGGGCTGGCCGCGGCTCGCGCCGCCGACTATGCCGTTCCCGGCTTCCGGCATCTGGCCCCGCTGCTCCTGGTCCATGGCCACTGGAATGCCGTCCGGTCGCGCATCTTCTTCCTGGAGACCTTCTACAAGTGTGCCGCCATCAATGCCATCCAGGCCCTCTTCCAGCTGGCTACCGGTGGCTCTGGGGCCAGTCTCTTTGATGGGTGGACTCTGGCCTGCTACAATGTGCTCTTCACCTCGTTCCCGGTCATTGTCCTGGGCATCTTCGAGAAGGACATCCTCTCGCGTCGGGTCCTCACGTCTCTGGCTCCGGAGGTTTACCGCCATGAGGCTCGTTTCGGGGGCCTCAACTCGGTTGGTATGTGTCTCTCTCTCTCTCTCTCTCTCTCTCTCTTTCTTTCTTTCTGGGTCGCGTGAGCGTCCCTTTCCGTCCTTCTCTTTCATTCCCCGTCGGGTCCTTTCATTCCCCCCCCCCCCCCACCCCGTCTCTCTCTGCTTCTCTTTCTCCCTT